TTTACTTAAAAAATTTCTCGAACAAGAACCCAAAATCCCTAGAAGGTTAAGATGTCAAATTACGATCATACCCTTCGCCTTCAAAGACACAATCACACACTTGGATCACGTATACCCTAACACCACATCCGAAATGGGCCAAATACTTCCTTTCCCAAGGCCATAACCCTTATGACAACTGTTGATTGGGATGCAGCCTCTACCAACGGAGCACTTCCAAAACTAGGTGTTACAGTCAAATTTCTGTTTTCATGCAGAATTCCAAATACCTTCAAAATTATATTTCTGTGATTTCTAAAGCATTTTATGCGCAGGATCATGATGTTTCTTGGTGGGTTGATTCGGGAGCAACAAGCAATATATGTAAAGATCTTCGTTGGTTCACGGAATGTCAACCAATTCAAGATGGATTTGTGGTGAATATGGGAAATATTGCAACCGAACCAATCAAGGGTTGAGGATTTGTTTTACTTTAATTTACTTTTAGAAAGTTTTTATGTCTGAACAATGTTTTATATGCACCGAAATTCGAAAGAATCTTGTGTCTGAAGTTGTTTTAAATAATTATGGTTACAAATAAGTATTAGAAAGTGACAAGTATATCTTCTCAAGAAATGATTCTTTTATAGGTTTCTGATATGTATATAATGGAATGATTAGGATTAATATTAATTATCCTAGTTATGATTATTCTGTTTGCATGGCTTATTCTAGTACTAGCAATAACTTTAATAAATTCTATTTATGGCATGTTAGACTAGGACACATTCATTACAAGAGATTAAAAGACATGTCAAAAATGAGTTTAATTTCTGCTTTTGATTTTAACAATGAAAAATGCAAAATATGCATGTTAACTAAAATCACAAGACAACCTTTCAAAGATGTTTTTAGGGAAAGCAAGGTGTTGGAACTTATACATAGTGATTTATGTAATTTCCATGCAACACCTTCCCTTGGAAACAAAAAATATGTAGTTACCTTTATTAATGATGCATCTAGATATTGTTATGTCTATTTGCTACATTCCAAAGATGAAGCTCTTGATAAATTTAAGATTTATAAACATGAGGTTGAACTTCATAAAAATAAATTAATAAAAGTTTGACGTACTGATAGAGGTGGTGAGTATTATGATCCAGATTATTTTAAATCAACTGGAACAATACATCACACCACGACTCCTTATACACCACAAAAAAATGGTGTACCTGGAAAAAAATAGGACTCTAAAAGAAATGGTTAATTCCATGTTGTCCTATTTAGGTTTAAGTGAAGGTTTGTGGTGTGAATCTATGTTAACTGCATGTTATACTTAGAATAGAACTCAAAACAAAAGGAGTAAGAATACTCATTAGGAAGTTTGGTGTAAAAAGTTACCAAATTTGATTTATCTCAAAGTTTGGGTTTGTCGAGCAGTTGTGAGGCTCACTGAACCCAAAAGGAAGACATTGGGTGAAAGAGGTAAAGATTGTATCTTTATTGGATATACTGAGCATTCCAAAGCTTATAGATTCTATGTTTTAGAATCTAATGACTCTATGTCAGTGAACACTGTTATAGAGTCAAGAGATGCTATCTTTGATGAAGAAAGATTTACATCTATACCTAGACCAAGGGACACGATTCAATAATATTTCAGCAAAAACACAACTCAAGCTGAAGATGCTTCTGGTGGTACAAGTTATGTGCTTGAACTTAGAAAGAGTACTAGAGCTAGAAAAGCTAAATCTTTTGGATTTGATTTTCAACTATATTTAATTGAAGGAACAAGGAATGAGATTGTTTCTCAACATCAATATTGTTTTAATATCGAGGAGGATCCAAAGACTTTCAATGAAGCTATGGTTTCTAGGGATGTTCATTTATGGAAATAGGCAATTCAGGATGAGATTGATTCTATCATGCATAACAATACTTGAGTATTTCCTGATTTACCTCCTGGTTGCAAGGCATTAGGATGTAAATCTATCCTCAAAAGAAAATTGAAGGTGGATGTCATAACAGATAAGTATAAATCCAAATTGGTTATCCAAGGCTTTAGACAAAAGGAAGGCATTGATTTCCTTGATACTTATGCTCCTGTTGCCAGAATTTCCACTATTAGATTGTTATTGGCTCTTGCTACTATACATAATCTTGTGATTCACCAAATGGATGTGAAAATTGCATTCTTGAATGGTGACTTGGATGAGGAAATATACATGAAACAACCTGAAGGGTTTGTGATGCCTGGAAATGAATACAAAGTGTGCAAGTTGAAGAAATCATTATATGGTTTGAAACAAGCACCAAAACAATGGCATCAAAAGGATGTAAATCTATCCTCAAAAGAAAATTGAAGGTGGATGGCATAACAGATAAGTATAAATCCAAATTGGTTATCCAAGGCTTTAGACAAAAGGAAGGCATTGATTTCCTTGATACTTATGCTCCTGTTGCCAGAATTTCCACTATTAGATTGTTATTGGCTCTTGCTACTATACATAATCTTGTGATTCACCAAATGGATGTGAAAATTGCATTCTTGAATGGTGACTTGGATGAGGAAATATACATGAAACAGCCTGAAGGGTTTGTGATGCCTGGAAATGAATACAAAGTGTGTAAGTTGAAGAAATCATTATATGGTTTGAAACAAGCACCAAAACAATGGCATCAAAAGTTTGGTGTGTTGTTTTGTCTAATGGTTTTACATTAATACCAAGCTGACAAGTGTGTATATAGAACATTTGATACTTCTGGTAAAGGAGTTATGATTTCTCTATATGTGGATGATATGTTGATTTTAGTATTGATTTAGAAGAAGTTGATAAAACTAAGAAATTCTTATTATCTAGTTTTGAAATGAAAGGCCTAAGGGAGGCTGAGGTAATTCTTGGTAGAAGACTTAAACAAGGAAACAAATAGGATTTCAATTTCTCAATCTCATTATATTGAGAAGATATTGAAAAACTTGAACTTTGAGAATTGTTCTCCTGTTAGCACTCCTAGAGATCTTAGTCTCAAGCTTCTACCTAATAAAGGATCTCCATTATCGCAACTTGAATATTCAAGAACTATTGGTTGTCTAATGTATGTCATGATTAGTACTAGGCCTGATATAGCATATGCTATGGGAAGGCTTAATAGATATACTAGTAATCTTAGTACACATCATTGGCAATCTGTAAGTAGAGTATTCAAGTACTTAAAAGGGACCGTGAATTATGGTTTAACTTATAATGGATATCCTTCTGTTTTGGAAGGTTATTCTGATGCCAGCTGGATTAACAACTTAGAGGATCACTCCTCTACAATTGGTTGGGTATTTATTCTTGGAGGAGGGGCCATTTCTTAGGCATCCAAGAAATAGACATGTATTACTAACTCAACCATGGAGTTTGAGTTTGTAGCATTTTCTGTTGCTGTTAAAGAAGCTAAGTGGCTAAGAAATTTGATTTATGAAATTCCATTATGGACAAAACCGATATCTACCGTTTCTATCAGGTGTGATAGTGATGCAACCTTGGCTAAGGCTTATATTCAAGTATATAATGGAAAGTCTAGACATTTAGGTGTTATACATAGTTTGATTCATGAGCTCATCATGACTGGTGTGATATCTGTGGAGTTTATGAGAACTCAGTTGAACTTAGCCGATCATTTAACCAAAGGGTTAGCTAGAGATCTTGTGCACAAGGTGGCTGTATGTATGCGTTTAAAGTCCACCTAAAATCTTTTATATTACGATACCCAATTCCCATCTAATGCAATATTAGATGTTGAATTCAATGTGGAAAGCTTGATATCTGAGGATTGGAACACATTTTTATTATCATCCCAAGTTTTGTTATCTGAGGATTGGAAAGCTTGATATCTGAGGATTGGAATTTTATTTCTTAATAGTTCTTTGAAAAATTGCATTTGTAGGTGCAAGAAACAAAAGAACTACCTATATAAGCATGAAGTTTAGCTGCTTCAAGAAGTTGGGACTTGGCTTTGATATGCTTATTGAAAGATGGGATACAAGCTAGTAAAATATAGAGTCGAGTTAGAACTTTGAGAATGAAAATTGTTGTGTATATTATCTCCATGTATTCACTTAGAATATAAATTTTTCAATCCTTAGTGATATCTTAATATTTGAATATTTAGAATGAATAATATACTAATATGAAATTCAATCGTCATGATATTTCATTTATGCATTAGTTTGTTGTTGTTATGATTTTATTTTTGGTTAATCAAGATTACACTTAAATGGGGGGAGGTTTGTTGGTGATTTTATATCACTAATATTATCTAAGTATAATGGGGTTAATTTATTGATCAATGTCACTTTGATAATTATCGAACAAATTAGTATGGCGAGGAGTACAAATTTGTTTGATTTTGTCATTGTTGAAAGTATACTGCTATTTAGGGGCGAAGCCCCTGAACTGACAGGTGTTCGGGGGCAGCATCCCTGGGAGCAGGATCCAAGGGGCGGTAGCCTCTTGCGGGGTCCAAGGGGTTGAGCCCCTCGTTGGGGTAAATACACCTAGTTTTGTGATCCATTTATAGACCCGATTTTATGTTAGTTGGTGACATGTAATATGATATTTTTTGGACAGGAAATTGTTTCCTGTAATTACCATATGGCGGCTTTAAAACAGAAAGTTAGTTTCTGTTATATGATCAATTTCAAATTTATTTTTGGGTACAGATTTCATAACATCTTCTTCATTCTCCATTTAAAAAAAAAAACAATGAGTTTCATTTTATTAAAGATTTTGAATGTACCTTCAAAATGTTTTAATCTGAAACTTATTCACAACTCTCAGTGATGCAAGTATATCTATACCCCAATTTTGTAACATTATTTATAAAAGAAATGTCGTGGACAGAAAACCCGCAGTTCTCCAAATCTTATTTTGTTCTTTGTATGATTTTTATAATACTTAAACAATTATAAGTTAAAATTATGACAAAAAAATAAAATAAAAATAAAAATGGCATTAATTTAAAAAGAAGAAAGAGAACAGGAAAGGAAAACTTAACGTCGAAAACCATAAGGATACCTATACTACAAAAAGTGGCAACACGTGTCATCCGGGTCACGCGGCCCACCCGTGGATATACATGCATATATACACACAATTATCTCCATTACAACCATATTCGTCGTCTCGTCGAAACCAAACGCAATTTTACTTTGGTGTTTTTGAACGTGATAAACATCGCCGGAGAGATGGCTGGATTAATGGATAAAGCGAAGGAATTCGTGGCTGAGAAGGTGGCAAACATGGACAAGCCGGAGGCGACGGTGAAGAACGTCGATCTGAAAGAAGTCAGCTGTCAATGCATAACCTACAAGGCCGACGTCAACGTCTCCAATCCTTACAGCACTTCCATTCCGATCTGCCAGATCTCTTATACCTTCAAAAGCGCCGACAGGTTCCTTACATGATTAATCTATTTCAATCCTGTTCTTATACATAAAATCTGTAGACGAAATCAACGCTAATTCATTCTCTCTCCATGATTAATCAAATCAAAAAAACATTTCAGTTTTCATATTAATAGGAATGTGAAATAACATTGAATTAATCAGGGTGATCGCTGAAGGTTCGATCCCAGACCCTGGGTCGCTAAAAGCCAAAGCGGATACGATGCTAGACGTTGGGGTGAAGGTGCCACATAGCGTGTTAATGAGCTTGATGAGGGACATTGGTGCAGATTGGGACATAGATTATGAACTCAACATTATTCTGACAGTTGATCTTCCGGTCGTCGGTAACCTCAACATTCCGGTGAACAGTAAGGGTGAGATCAAGCTTCCTACGCTGTCCAGTTTAATGGGTGCTGGTGCTACTTCTTAAAATGAACCATGGTAAAATCCATATGATACTTGTATATATGCAAAGGATGATATGTTAAAATAATAATCCTGTTTTGATGAAACTGTTTATTGGTTTTGTTTGTAAAGAGGAGTTTTTTAAGGATATATTAAAATGTATTTTAGAATATTACGATTTTGTTTCTTTTCTTATACGCTGGCTTTTCTACATCAATGATGTAAACTCAGCTTGCTATTAGTTCTATTTAGAACCAATGCCGATAAGTTGTGAAGAGACATAATGAAAATTTTGGTATTGTTTTTTTTAAGGTATATAATATACTATAATCACATCTGCACACACAAGAAAACATGAACAAAACGTCAGTAGAAAAAAAAAAAAACTGTTTGTTTTCTAACGTCTGTATGTTGATAAAATAAATTGAAACATAAATAAAATGAGTTTTTAAATTTAAATGAGTTTTCTATACTGAAATTTGAATAGATAAATTAAATATCCTCCTATCATTTGTTCCTATTTTTCTTCCTACCATATTAAATGTTGATATTTATGCAACCACTATGACATTTTTTTAATTATTCATTTCATATAATTCAAAACCATGCATCGGGTTGCTCGTATTAAGAAAAAAAAATTATCACTCAAACCTTTTTCTATTATAAAATTATGAAACGTGAAACATATAATTATAATGCTCCTTTGTATAACTAACGGAAATTGTGTCATTCTCTTTGATATAGGGATATGTAATTGAATTAAAAAGAAGAACATTTTACAATTGCCTAAAAAAAGCTACATTAACTTGTGTCTATTATAATCCTCACAATTTGTGCCTCTTATAAATTTTACATAATTTTCTACACATATTAAACCTTATTGAGACAAATTAAAAATAATTCACTGGATTTAGAAAAGATATGGTTTTAATTTACACAAAATTAATATAAAAAATGAAAGATCCTAAATTATATATAAAATAATTTAATTATTATTGTTGCTTAGAACTGGGAGAAATGTTTTCCTACCTGCAGACTTTGGTCCATTTCTTTTTAGAGAAGGTCTGCAGTCTTCTAAAAAAAACAAATAAAATGGTGAGAACGTGCACACGTAAACGTCTTTTCACCCATAGACATTATTAGTGTATATTATGTATAAATAACATTTTTATGTATTTATCCCATTACTTTTCATCACATGTGGATCTTGTATATTGTATTTAATCATTGTTAACGTAATTATCTAAATTATATGAAATATCTTATCCAATATGGTATCAGACTAAATTACCCAACCTACCATCTTCCTTTCGATCTTGTTTGCCTCCTTCCCTCCCATTATACCTTCATTCTTCTTATCTTCTATCCTCTAATCTATTAACAAAATGATTGGTTCAGGCGAAGGCTCTACATCCATACACAACCAGAAACCTTACAGTGTGGTTAACATCAAATCACATGTCTCGATTATTCTTAATTACAATGAAATAAACTATGATGCCTGGAGATGGCTATTTGAAACCCATTGACGGGGTTATCGTGTTCCTGGTTTCCTTACCGGAACCTCTAAACGAAAATCTGAAAATGATGAGGAATGGTATACGCTTGATTTAATTGTCAAATCATGGATTTATGTCACTCTCACTCAACCTCTTCTTACATCAATTGCCAAGAAAACTTCCATAGCTCACTCACTTTGGCAAAGTCTTGAAGAACTATTACAAGAAAACAAAGATTGTCGGGCTTTTGAACTCGAAAATGAGTTGCATTTCATGACTCAAGGTGATCTCTCAATTACTCAATACTATTAGAAAATGAAAAGCATCTTTGATGTTCTTGTCAATAACGAAAAGCCCATTCTAGAAAAGACTATTGTTTCCTACTTGCTTAATGGTTTATCTCCTCAGTTTGACAATATTTATATGCTCCTTTGATACAAGGACCCGCCTTCTAATTATCTCTAGGTCGGATCCTACTTGCTTGTTAAAGAACAACGGTTTAAGACCAATCGTGCCGCACAATCATCTCATGCCAATCATCCATCATCTTCTACTATTTATATGTTGGGAACAACCAACACAACTCCTTTGGGTTATCTTGTGGTGGTCGCCACCCAAATCAACCCCACATTACGGCAGATCCCACCTGAAATCTCGCCAACAGCTTCCTGCTATTTCAGGACATCAGCACCAGCAACAGTCGCTGCCATGGAACCCATATCTCATGCCATGTCATCCCTTCCGCCTTACCCACCATATTGGCCTAGTTTCCGACCCACTTTAGTGGCCTAACAACTCCGACCCAATGCACCTGCTCCTCAACCACAACTAGGTACTCTTGGTTCATGTCTAGCTCACCCCCCAAATTCTAGAAGCTGCTTTACATACCACCAAATTCTAATATCCTTTGTTAGGAAGTAATGTGGATAACACACAAAACTAAAAGCATACAAGGACATAGTATTTACGTGATTCGGTCAAGGTGACCTACATCCACTAGCAGGAGAGATGTATTCTTTCTTCATAGAGTTCTCTAACAGAGATTACGAGTGCAACCAACAAAGATGCTTCCTACTCGCTAAGGATACAAAAGACACGACACTAATGACTTAGCATGCATTCCTATTTTTACTTGATGGATCATACCTAAAACCCTAATGGCCAAAGCCCATTAGCCAATAGACCCGTGAATGGTATCAACCAATCACAATCCATCATGCAGCAGCTTCGGGAACATTCATCCTTTTATGAGCATCATCAACACACATGACGGAGCATCATGATCCATAGTGGCATATCATAATGCAAGAGTGACACATCAAGATCAACATGGCATATCAACCATCATGGTGGTGAATCAAGCAATAATTATTGACCATCTTCAACTTATGAGCCTCCTTGAGCAATCTTGAGCATCATAGGGGACTTTATAGCATACGGTTCATCACGGGATACCTTGGCATATCATGGAACCAGGTGACGCATCCTTGCATCAAGATGATGCATCAGGCATGTAAATGGTATTTCTTATGCAAGGAATAATGCTTCTTCTCAAGTGATGGCACTTCTTCCTTATGAGTGGTGCTTGTAGAACCATATAGGTGCTTCTTCCTCAAAAATGGTGCTTCTAGAACCATAGTGGCGCTTTTACCTTCAAAATGGCGTTTATTCCTTTAGAATGGCATGTCTAGACAATGATTCACGCTTCCACATTATGGATGGTGCTTCTTCATACAAATGGTGTTTCTAGAATGGCGTTTCAAGAATAGATGGTGCAACCATGCACCAGGATGCTCCATTTCACTTCCATGTGCTCCATACGCCCTTTTAGAAGTTCCGTTCCTTTATCACTTTATCCGTTCCTTTTTCGGGAGATCCATCCCTTTCTCAGATGATCTGTTCCTTTGTCACATTCTTTATAAACCCCAAGTGCTCCATTCAAATCAAATGCTCCATACGAATGCTCTAAATGCTCAAGTCACATTTAACAATATCTACCTTGTCATGAGCATTCTATGAAATCCACCTTAAACAAGAACTTCCTCTCCCTTCCTTCCATCAAGCGCCCTCCTGCGAACATCAACTAAGTCCAAGAAAAGCTTGAACATCTCTATGGGAAACGACCTTGTCACCATGTCTTCTAGATTCTCCTTGACATTAGACTTTTGAATGCATAACCTTTCATAGAAAATGATAGGCTTCTCCACCTTCAAAAGAAGACTCTAAACAAGACTAACCGATATTGATCTACTTATCACTAGATCACTTTCATGGTCCAAGTCTATCAATCCAACCAAGTATGTATGTCGTTCATTGGCACCATACACCAGACAAACATCAATCATTCCCTTCAAGTGTCTCAAGATCCACTTGACTACTTCCCAACGAGGTTTCCCCAGATTACATCAAGCCGCCACAGAAGTACCAACACGTTTGGACTGATCCGGATAGAACAATCGCAAGACTTTCTAAATAGAGTGAGAAATGTATAACCGTCCTGCTTTAATATCACTTTAAATCTCCATCCTTGTTATCTTCTTTTAAGCTCCTAAATTGTTCATCACAATCTCATTCTCCAGAAGCTTCTGTTGGATTAGTGTCTAAGTCCATAACTATTTTGGTATGTACTTGACCCGATTATGAGCATGGTCCTTTTGGGTTGCCTTCACCATAGCAATATGTAGGATGAATTAAGGAGAGAAAGGTTTAAATATGATTTATTAATATATTATGAGAATAATATATTAAAGGAGAAATCATATTGTTTAATTAATATTAGTCAAGAATTAATTAAGTATTAATTTTGTGGCTAAAAGAGATTAATTAAATTTAGGGGACTGGACTGCAATTATTGGATAATTGAGTTATTGGGCTAAGGAATGCTAAAGGAATAAGGGGTGAACGAAATTATGATGGAAGCCCATCATATTTTCGTCCATAGCCTTGTCCAGAAGGTTCCATGGGTTGCTTAGAGTTTAAGTTGTCCATTAGGGTTTTGACTGAAACCCTAGCAGCCCACACAAGTATATAAAGGACCCCTTAGGCTCCAAAAACGTGACAACTGATTCTTAGGGTTTCTAGTCGTTTTTGGGCAGCCTCCTTTCTTCTCCTCTTCATCCAAGTTGCATAAGGTGTTTGTGACTCCATTAGAGGTGCAGCACTTGAGGCACTAAGCTCTTAAAGCCAATTCAAGCAAGGAATTGATTGTTATTGCTATATAACAATCAAAGGTAATTATATAAACCCTAATTCAGTTTATAATATGTTAGATCTAAGTTTATTAGTCTTGGATTCAAAGCATGTACAATAGAGAAACCTAGATCCAAGCATTAGGGTTTGTATGAGCACATAGGATTGTTCTTATGCATAAAACCCATCAGTGGTATCAGAGCCTTGATTGGTTTCAATTGTATGTGATGCTTAACTACTTTATTTGCTGAAAAATCGATTTTTAGCCTCTGCCCGACCTGACTCGGCGAGTTAGTGGATGAACTCGGCGAGTCTGTCCCTGAATCGGCGAGTCCAGTCCCTGACTCGGCGAGTCCAGGGGTCAGACAGAGGGAATTCCGGGTTTTTGCTGCTGTTTTGACTTGGATTTGATACCTAATTCGTTTTTTTGAAGTTAAAATCCGATTTTTATCTTAAATTAGTGATTATCCTTGCCAAAACAATAGATAATTTCAAATCTTTTAAATATTGGTTGTT